GGACACTCCCTACCTTCTCTGGTTTTTGTCTTGAGAGGGCAAAACTGGTTTTCACTTCTGTGGTATGCTAAAAGATCATTTTTTTTGTAGGGTGGGGCATTATGAAATGGGAAAGAATTGAAGAGGTGGTTAAAGTCCTCTTGTTTATTTTGGAAGGTCAGTAGAAATGATACATCCTGTTTTCAGAATTACTTGAAGGAGTGGTTAATATCCCCGTTGGTTTATTTATATATTGTTTTTCTCTTTGGGAGGTTTGGAGAGAGTGACCTTTCCTGTAAAGTGACATTTTTCTAGGGGTGGTTAAAATACCGTTGTTGTTTTTTTTGGTATTGCTTTCTCTTTGGAAGGTCTAGAGAGTGACCTTTCCTGTACTGTGACATTGTTCTAGGAGTGTTTGAAATCCTTTTGTAATGGTTTAAACAAAAGAGAAGGTCTGCTAAATGTTCTCTGGTACATTATGACATTTCAGGGGGCTGGTACCTGCACAGAATTGATCCCTCTTTGGGTTGAACTACCTTCAGAGATGTTTGGGGTCCATCTGCATGTTTTTTTTTTGTTTTTGTTTTTTAGGAACTATGTAGAATTTCATGTTTTGTGCTGCACAGTAATGTTACTATTGTACTCAATTGCTGTTTTATTTATTTAAATTTTTTTAAATTGCTTAATTGATTGTTCTATAGTCCTGTTGTAATTTGTATAATAAATGACAAAATTTGGTCGGGGAGTGTTGTAACAATTTGATTTCTCACACATCTTTAGAAGATAAGTAGATAAATTCCTTCCTTTTAAGTCCACTTAGTTATCTGATTTTCGTAGGAATTTTGTCTCCTGTCCATCTTTGAATAAATTTAAATGTTAGTGTTTTGGAGGATTTATGTCTACAGCTACCTTTGAATTGGGAAACATAAAAATTTTATAAATGATTTTAGATAGTCTTGAAAGTAGTCCTTTCAACCAGAGAGTCTTGAAAAACAATTGTCTTCATTTTTTGTTGAAAGCAATCATGGCTGAGAAAACAAACCCGTGTGCATAGCGAGTTGGGTGTATATACAAATACACTTAACCTTGTATGTCATCACAGGTGCAGTGACCATTGAATGATCGGAGAATGTTGTCACAATTACACAATGAATGGCATCACACAAGAACAATCTAGCTCTGTAGATTGAATAAAGAGTTCAGCTTGAAATTCCTTGCAAGTAACCAGGATCAACAGACACATGGAAAAGGCTGGAGAGCTCAACTGCTGAAATGTGATAATAACAGCAAAGATGAGGATTTCTTTTTTTTTTTTTTTTTTTTTTTTTTTTTTACAGTGTGGTTGTTCACCCTTTACAAGTCTTGGGAGGTGAGCAGCCACTCAAGGTAGAGTGTTATGTTTGGAGGACATTTGTGTGTATAAGAGTTGAAGACAATGGTTTACTCCAGTCTTGAACAGGTTAAGATTGCAGCGATCAGGGAAACATCCTGTTGGAAGTCGGTTCCACAGGGCAGTGGTTTGCCAGAATAAGCCATTTGAAAGGAACTTATTTCTCACTGATGGGATACAGAAGGAATGTGGATGGTTCACTACTTTGTAAGTGGCGTGGTGTGTTCTTGCTGTGAAGGTTTTCTTGGTGGGACCAGGGAATGTATTTTGTCTGAACACTTTCTGTGGAAGTCACAGTAGTCTGAATGTAAATAAAGTAAACTATGTGGTCTTTGTTTGTGACTGATCAACATATATTTACTGAGCTTTACCCCCTCTTCAAGTCATCATTGTTTTGTTTTTTTTGTATTTCAATTGTTATCATTTTTGCTTTAAAGATTATTTTATTTATATTTGATAATTCATAAATATATTGTTGATTGCCTGTTGAAATGAAAGTCTTGAATCAAGTTGTGATATTGTTTTATTTATTATAAATTGATCAGTTTGAGTAAATGAATAGAAGAACAAGTACCAGAAAGACAAAGAGAAGATAGTTATTTTTGAAAACAATAAAAGATAGGAAGTTGTGGAGAACCACAAACTTCCATATCCTGAAGAAATGTTGCACCAAATGAGAGAGAAAACCTACTAGACAAATTTTAGCCGATAGATGGAGGAACAAGTATTACAAAGAAAAAGAAAGGTTACAAGGGAGCAAGAATTAGTGAGAACAACAAAGGCAGCTGTGGAGAACTATAGCCACTGCATTCTGAAGGAATGTGGAATATTGAGACAGAAAATCTACATGACAAGGTTGAGTCAGTGGATAGAAGAATAAGTATTGCGATTATAAAAAGAAGGGCTATATAAGAGCAAGAATTGGTGAGAAAAAAGGAAGGTGTGGGGAACCATGATCTATATGCCCTGAAGAGACATGAAACATTGATAGAGAATCAACTTAACAAGTTTGAAAAAACAGATGGAAGAACAAGTACTGCGATGACATAAAGAGGGATTATAGAGGAGAAAGAATTGGTGAGAAAAAAGAAGCTGTGGAGAACCACGATCACTATGCCCTGAAGGAACATAAAACGTTGAGAGAAAGAACCAATTTGACATGGTTGAACTAATGGATAGTGGAACAAGTACTATGGAGACAAAGGAGAAAGTATTGCTGAAAGCAACAAAAAGGAAGTTGTGGAGAACCATGATTACTACGTCCTGAATGGACATGGAACATTGAGAGAGAGGACAAACTTGACATGTTTCAGCTAATGGATAGAGGAAAAAGTAATATGAAGACAAAGAGATGTCATAAAGGAGAAAGTAATGCTGAGAGTAACAAAGGATAGGAACTTGTGGAGAACCATGATTGTGCATTTCCTGAGGAGATATGCGCATGGATAAAATGAGGGGGTAAGGATGTGCTATGTTATACAAAACAACTCAATGAAATTTAGATGTAAAATATATCTTTAAAAAAATATTTTTCCCTGTTGATTTCTTTGCTTCATTTTTAAAAAAATCTTTAAATTGAAGAAACAGATTTGATTTCAGTGTTGCTTAGGAAAAAAGAAATTTCCGCACAGGGTTGATTTGCCATTCACTTGAAAAAGAAAAGGAATTTTGCATGTTTGCTTTCTCAACTTTCTTTGTGGGTCAATTGTCATTAAAAGATAACAGTTGACCCACAAATAACATTCAATTTTTTAAACACATAGAAATGATTTGCATCTACACTTTTCAGTTTCAGTGTCACCATTTAAACTATTTATATTTGGACTATTGTCCTCATCTTTGTTGTTGTTGTCACATTTCAGTCGTTGTGCCCACCGGCCTTCATCAGGGTTAGACTGATAGAGGTTACTATTACCAGCTATACACTTTTGAAAAAATAATATTACCAGCTATATATTTTTTGAGAAAAACAGAAATAGATTTTTGACAAAACAAAAATATTACCAGGAAAAAAGAAAATTGTCGGCATTAAATGACCCATTGAGGTTGATATGCTGTAAAACAAAACAAACCAAACCTTTTGTAACTCAACTCCCAAGTGGCCAGATATTGAACTCACAACTCTTTGGGTCAAATCCATTTTTGGATTACTCAACAAACTCTTTTATCCATGAGTGAATTTTTGGGTCTTAAAAACCTGTGGGAGTCAAGAGAATGAAAATTTGGAGAGTTGAGTTACTAAAGGGAATTAACTGAAACTGAGATGTCTGGAAAAGGCATGGCATGGGGAACTAGAACAATCTACCTGTTGTATCCTTAAAGAGGTTACAAACAGACAAAGGTGGTACTCAAGTGAAGGAACAGCAACATGCATGTAGATGAAAGAGAGGTTTATTGTAAAAGAGAATATACTACTGAAAGACAGGAAATCAGGTGTAAGGTTAGTAATTCCCAAAGCAAGCCCCCAGGTATATCCTGTGCTCACTATATATAGCTACTGATATAGTCAGTCCACATAGGCAATAGCGAGTGTGGGACATTCCATTACAACATTATTTTCAGTGGGAAATAAAAATAAAACAGCAACCAGCGAGTAAATTCAAGCTCTCCCAACTGGTATTCCAACCTCGAGTCGTTCCTTCTTGAGTTCTGTCTCAAAATCGCACTAACAGACTTTTCTAGCCGCCAAACGTGAACGTCACTCCAAGAACTCCCCACTGGGAAAAAATAGTTGCTTTTATATTTGTCCATATACCCATAATCCCTTGTGTCTTCATGTGATCCCATAATTCATTGCGTCCCTGTCCCATAATGCATTGCATCTTTATTGCATAAAACTGCAACGCAAGTCCCCCCTCATTCTTTTATGTTATCTGGCCGAGGACAGATTACGGCAAAGCGGTAAGTGCTTTTTTCTTCCTCATTTCAACTGCAGTAGCTTTACATGCTAAGCAAATACAGGCTCTTTTTTGGCGGGGACAAGGCAAGTCGCAACCGATTGTGCTCATCCCAGGTTCTGTCTCATCATGTCTGCCACATTTTCCCATGAAATTTTGCTCAATACCTCTTCTTTTTAGGGTCAGGACATAACTGTTTCACTTTTTTCCTCTTCCTAGTATTTTTCCATCTGACCAGCACAAAACTACCCTCATGGACTAAATAAATGATTTGGTTTGAAATTCTAATGTATATCACATGAAGAAGGTTGAAGTGTACAATGGTTGAAATATTGTGAATATGGTAATAATGATGAAGACAACAGTTTGAATGATGTAAATAGTTACAATACCTCATTTCAGAAATATAGACAGATAAAGAAATACTAGTGAAAATTAATAACGACTGACAATGCTTCATTTAAGAAATTCAGACAGTTCTGTTGTAAAAACTAAAGAAATAAAATGAAAGAAATGCTAGATAAGAATTAGCAAAACATTACTTCATCTGAAAATTGAGATAACTTAAGACTATTACCTGTTGGTGTAAATGCAAGAGAAAAAAGTTGAAATAAGTACTTGTGAAAGAATTGTTTGTTATAATAGGCATCATCTTCTAAATGTATAAATCTTTACCCTTTTTTCTTCCAAATTTTATTTTCTATTAAATTCCTTTTGTCTATGATTGATTTCAGAGGTACCTCCTCGTTTGGCTGGCCTTCCATCAGGTGACCTGAAACCGGAAACTTTTGTTTCGCAATTAAAAGAAGAAATAGGTGATTCTGTGCTTTATCAACCTTTTGTAATCGTTGGTCGGTTGTTGGAAGAAGGACGTCACCCTTGTACGCAACAAAAGACGCCTTCCTCTTGTGCTAAGAGGAGAAAATGGTCATATTTCCAAGCAGAGAAAGAGGAAATTTTATACAGTGAAGACTCAAAAAAATCAAAATATGATGTCCGACAAAAGAACAGTCTTGTTGATTGTTTGGTTGCAGATTTGGTAAGTGTCTTCATTCTAATAATTGCCAAAAGATTCATATTAATCCTTGTAAGATATATCAAATATGTACAGGACATACATGTCTGCGGGAATGTGGGGAAAATTGTGAAAATGGCCTACCTCGGAAACGCCTGTGAATCTGTGCGATGTGCAAATTCTGGTTTGCTCAACGGTAAAAGGAACCAAAATGGCGGCGCCCATGTTTTATGCCAGGCGGTCTCGGACAGTTAACGCAAAATCTCATTGTCTCGTCATTTGCATGCAAATCGTGGTTGGTCCTCTGCTGTATAAAGCAGGCGCTTTTTTATTTCTGATTTTTGCTTGTGAGAAGGTTGGACGTGTGACACTGTTTTGTCGGTTACCCTCCTCGCGGTTTTTTTCCTATCTGCTACTATCAGTTGAGTCATTGCGTTACCACCACAGGGAAGTAGCTGGAAAGTTCTTTTTTTTTTTTACCTCAATTTCATCCACTCCAAGGCTCGAGAGTCAATCAAGGTAGAGGTTTACAGTTGAAATGGTGATGATTAATCAGTTGTGAGATATTAGGGAAGAATGTATTAAGAAATGGATATTAACGATTGACCCTTGATTTGAAGTATTCATATAGGAGTTTTCCAACAATTGATTGATTGTTTTTATAGTTTATCAACCCTTTGTTGATTATTTAAAGCTGAAACATATTTTGCATTGTAAGTACAATTTTTCCTTTTTTTGTGAGTGAATATTGCATTAACAATTTTTTTTGAGATAGCAGTGAATTTTATTTCAGATACAAGTCCTATTATTTAACTCATAACTGGTAGGCAGGGGTAAAAGAGATGGATTCATACCATTCCCAATGGTATTTGCACATAAGTGAATGTAAGGATCCCAACCGAAATTTGACTTTGACTCTCCAGTTTCTCTTTCTGAGCCACAATCCATTACACCACCTGCACATTACTATATAAGAATTACTGATCATAAGGAAAAGTTGTGTAGATTTGGAACACAGGAAATAAGGGTAATTTGATTGTGGAAGTAACATGCCATGTCATTGTTATAAAGTAAAAAAGAAAAAAAATGCTCCTTAAATAGCAATTGCTTGCAAAGCAATATAATATACCACACTACTGTAAACACAGCAGATAACAAAGTCATTGAATGTCAAATGTTTCCTTATAAAGAAAAGGCTAATATTAAGAATGTTAGATATGTTGTAGTGTTGAAAAAATATTTGCATAAAAAAAACTTATTGTATATAGTATTTGTTAAACTGTTTTTGTTTTAGAAAGAAGTAATTTAAACTACCAAATTCTTGGTCAGAATAAAAATTTATTGAAGATGTTTTTTTGTTTTTTACTTTAATTCACCCAATACAGGGCCCAAGAACCACTCAAAGTAAAGAGTTACTAATTGAGATTTTTGTAAGGGCATAAAGGAAGGGAAGTAGAAAGTGGGTACATATTATAAGAATATATAAGATAGATATCAGTTGATCCTAGACTTTTAGAAGTTAACATTGTAGTGATCAGGGATGTATACTCTCGGGAGTCTGTTCAAAGTAACAGATCTAGAGAAGCTGTCTGAGTGGAATTTACTCCCTACCAAAGTAATACAGAGGGAATGAGGATGCTTTAACACTGTGTACACATCATGGCTGCTCCTAGCTGTGAAGGCCTGAACTGGTAAATCTAAGAAATATAACTAGTTTGAACAATTGCCATGTACAAGGCCCAGGTGCCACTCAAGGTAGAGGATTACAGTAAGTGGCAGTTTATGCAGATAGGAGGGGAGGATAATAGTTAACCCTACATTTGAAGGTTAAGATAGTAGTAATTGAGGAAACATCCTCTTGGGAGCAGTGGTTTGCTGAAAGAAGCTGTTTGAGTGGAACTTACTTCTCACTAATGAAATACAAAGGGAATGTGGATGGTTTGTTATAATGGGGGTGGCATGTTGGGTTCTGGCCATGAAGGTGCTAATTGGTGGAACCAAGGAATGCAGTTCGTCTGGGCACTTTCCATGGAAGTGAGAGGCTTGCTATGTTTTGCCTGTGACAGAGAATTTAGAGGGTGGAAAATAAGTTATTACCTTAAGGACTCTGAGATGCTTTTGAACAAAAATGGGGAAAAATGAGGACTGGGAAGCTCTCACCGAAATATAACAATAGTACGTTGTTTTTGGCCTGATCTGGCTCTTGTAAAGGTAGAGGATAGTGCATAGTCAGATACTTACTGGAGCAAACAGGGAACCAACTATTTTACCTGCATCTTTAGAAATGGATTATGTGTACGAATTCCACTTGATGTCAGGAGTCAGTTTAAGGTCCAATAGTCTCTCAAGGCATGGCGCTTCCCGAGGAGGCATTCATTTATTCATCGTTACTGGTGGTAGTTTTGGGTCTGATCGGCAATAATGGAATATAACTAATTTAGGCATTGAATGTAACCAGCTAGATTGGATGAGAGATCAGCTAACAATCTCTGATTATCATGAGCTTTGGAGGTGCACCTGTATATTGTCATATCATTGGAATATTCACAAATGATCAGAGTATATTCTTAGGAAAGAGGGTTGGTCTGTGGAGTGACCACTGTAGGACTCCTGCATTGATTGCTAGGGTCCCAGAGGATCAGGGACCTACCCATTAGGAATGATACTGATAGAATAATAATGGCCACTCATATCCGAGGATGCCTGTCTTTTAGGGAGGCTAGCTAATCCCTGTTACAGACGCCTGCTCAGGCACATTTGTTTGCTGAATGCCCACAGAGCCCACCTGTGGTTTGTACTGTAACTATGCTGAGTGAACCTTAGTTACAGTTTTGGGAGAAAGTGCGTTATCTAGCGTGATCAACACTGAAGAAGTCTAGCATGCTCAAACCCTCGATCACGATGACGTGTCACTTCATGCTAGCAGAACCATCAATGGCTCCCAATGAGTTCCATTTACCCAATTTCACACACAGCTTAGATCAGCCTGTGGTATGGTTTTCCGGCGCTTTCCAAAGGTTCTGCACGCTAGGATCACCTCCCCATGATTGATAACATCAAGAAGTCACCTTCCTGACAAATTGACCATAGTGAGATTTGAACCTGTAACTCATGATCAGAAAGCGAACATTCTAATCACATGGCTATGTGCCCGTATTATAGAATAATGAGAGGCTAAAGTAAAGGCAGATTTTTAATTACTATTTGTACACCAGCTCTTTATAAATAAGAAAGATGCCATTTTGTTTAGAGTAATGATAATACTAGCTGCTTCCTTATAAGGAAATATTTGGCATTCATTGACCAAGCAGCTTGTACTACTGTCAGTTGAAAGTTATAAATACTTTCTCTTAAAACACTTATTTAGGAAAATAGGCTTATCAAGTCTACTGTTATCACCTCTTTCCAATATCAATGGGGGCTTCCTTCCTACCCTATTGTTTGAAGTAGTGTGGAATGTCAACATCTTGATTATGTCATTATTTACTCTTTGAGTTACATGTGATATGCATTTTTGTCTTCACTGCTGTTGGTAGGTCTCAAGTGATGGGGTTTCTGTTATTTGGTACAGTTCTTTCTTTGTGATTTTGTAGCACCAGTCTATAAGGTTTGAAGAAGATCTACATACTCCATGTGCTGAAGGCCATTTTCAACCATTTACCATTTGGGTGAAACTACCACCAGTGCAACCTATTATGTGTTCAATTTCCTTATTTCCTCTATTAAATTTGTTATAACTGATCCATACACTAGGCCCAATCATCTCCCAAGGCATGTAACTCCCCCTAGGCACCATCCATTTATCGTGACTGGGAGTATTTCAGGGTCTGATTAGCAATGATGGATTGTAACTAATTTGCTTTTCGAGGCATTAAATGTAACCAGCTAGATCAGATGAGAGATCACCTGCTAATGATCTGAGTATATCCCTCGGCAAATGTCCAGTATTTACTAATTCCACATCCTGAATTGTTATGATGGTTTCAGAATATGTACCATATTTACAAGCAGATAATGTGTGGGATATGTGTTAGATTTTGTAGTCAGACACTGTTATTACAGTGCCTCTATGCAAAGTTTAACAGTTGCTATAAAATATATTTCAGAATAACAGAAATGATATATAGAGTCCATACTTCCCTATGAAGAATAAAAGTTTATTTTTATGTTGAAACCTTCCTCTAGGACCAAAAAGTCTGTATACCAAATTTGAGATTTCTACATGAAGTTGCTTGGTTTTGTACAAACCTTTTCCAATTATACACATACATACATACATACATATACAGATCTCTCTCTCTCTCTCTCTCTCTCCATATATATATATATATATATATATATATATATATGAAGAGGTTTGTCACTTAGCTGATTGATATTACCTTCAGCATCCCATTTGTATGGGTTTTTTTCACCAACCATTCAAGTTTTAGTTCTTGAAAACTGCTAAACAAACAGCCACAACAAATCGGTCAGAAATTTGTGGACAATTCTTGATACATATTCATCTTTCTTAACCTTCAGCATCTCAACTCCAAATTTTTGTAGACGGACCTGTCTGTCCACTCATCAGGGGGTATTAACTACTTATACTTCACATGCATTCATTGCAGTCAAGACTTCACTCTTGTGTGGGCCTGTACACACATAACAGATGCTGCACCGCCATTAGCAGCTGTGGCATTACTCTTTGGTTACAGATCCAAGGTTTCTCAAGAACGACAGATGCAACATGCAATATATATATATATATATATATATATGGCGGACTCTCCTATCATGAGGGTCAGCATTGGATGGTGCCTTTCGTTTTACACTTATGCATGCTAGCAGGGGATATTGTGGAGAAAATTAAGTAAGGGAAAGACATATTTCATTTGTGCTAATTTAAGTGTGATACTAGCCAAGCCTTGCTAAAAAGCCACACTGACAGAGGAAATTTGTTAAAGCAGGATTTTGATGGTATCTCTGCTTCAGAGCTTGACAAAGCTGATCATAGTGCTTCAGTCTACTGTCTTCAAAACCCTTTAACTTAATGAAACATGTCTTTCAGTTTGATGCTTAGGCTTCCTAGGTTTTCAGATCAAAGTTGAGACATTTCAAGTTGTCTTTCAATTTGTCTTTGTAGCATAAGAGTGGACATACAACTGAATGCTTGGAGTTTGGTGGTTGTCCATACAGCACCATCTTTGGAAGCCTATGCTCATCCATTCTCACAACATGACCAGCCCACCTAAGTTGTATCTTTGCGAGAATGGTTTCAATGCCTGCGATGTTGTTATATTTCTTCAGTTGTGCGATATTTTTGAACCTGTCATCCCATTTTTAAATATATATATATAATGTCTTTACTCATTTAGCCTAACTTGAATTCATCCACCTGTCTTAATTCTATGAAGTTGATTTATTTCAATTTAATTTATTTTTTAGGATGAAATTAATGAAATCCCATTTTTCGAGATTGACCTTGCCAGAGAATTGGCACTGAAAATTTTTCAATTTCTTGACTACAAAGATTTGTGCCAATGTGCTCAGGTGAGTTGGAATTTATCCTTTGAACTTGGATTTATGACCCTATGATATCATTAAGTTCTTGTTGCAAAATTATCATGTCAATGAGTGCAGATTCCATCTATGATTGATTCTGTACTATTTGTTTATTGCTAAACCACAGATATATATTTAGTTATTATATCAACTTCAAAACTTCAACAATCCAATGTTGTTTCTGAATTCACTTGTTCACTTGAAGAATGTTTCTGTAATAATAATTCAAACAACACATACATTGGTTATATAACCACTACATTATCACACTGATTAACATGTCATTTATCTGATAGTAGTTCAATTAAATTGCATATTACTAACAACAGAACATGATAAGAAATTCAACAAAATTTTACTAATAGCATAATGCTATATCACATAAACTGTAAAAAAAAAAATGATTACAAATTCTAGAAGTACTAAGCATAAAAAGCAGACCACCCAACATCAATAAATTTAAATTTAGGTATAAATATACTAAATGTATTTTAAAAAACACGTAAGATGTGATGTTTGAAAATGACAAAACCAACATAGCACAACATTCGCTCCAAGCAAGGTGATAATGCCATTAAGACACAAGGGGTTAAATGAAAGAGAACAAGAAGGCTTTAGAAGGAATGGGGAAATTATAACAAAACCAACATAGCACAAAAACTCATTAATAATGGCTTATGAAAGTTGAAAGTGCTCAGACATTGAACAGTTTATATTTAAATATGTATCAGAAACCATAGAAATGATCTGAAATATTTTTTTAAAAATCCTTAACAAAGAGCTTTCATTAGTCTTTAATGATACTTGTACAAATAAAATGTTGGTGCTCAATTATACCCAATTATCAGCTGTCATAGTTCCAGCATTCTGATACTTTGTATAGTAGTAATGGAATTTTTGGTAGCCAGTTTTTTTTTTTTAATCTGCTTGCCCCAAGAAATGATGCCACCAAGACACAAGGGGGCTACTGAGAGTGAAAGAGAACAAAAATATTTTAAAATGAACCAAAAACCCAATCCTAAACAGGAAACAAAGGATAAACCCCTACTCCTGTTCAAAAGATGAGGGAAGGTATGAACCGGGCATTATATTATATTTGGAATATTTTCAAATGTATAGACTTGTGACATTCTAAGAAGTTATACTGACTTGTTCAGACTGATTTTAAACTTACAACTTTTGTATGATCTAATAAGATGTGTAATTCATGTAGAAATTGGTTAAGATGCCAAAGACTGAGTGTCTTTGAGAAGACAACTAACATTTGTTTAAGAATTGATACCTTTGATTCATGTAGAAATTGGTTAAGATGCCAAAGACTGAGTGTCTTTGAGAAGACAACTAACATTTGCTTAAGAATTGATACCTTTGATTCATGTAGAAATTGGTTAAGATGCCAAAGACTGAGTGTCTTTGAGAAGACAACTAACATTTGCTTAAGAATTGATACCTTTTTTATTCATGTAGAAATTGGTTAAGATGTTAAAATTGGGGGTCTTTGAGAAGACGACTTACATTTTGGAATTTACTTTAGTTAATGATCGGAACCATAAGCAAGCATTTCCGTTCAAATGTAAAATTGAATAAAAACTGACAGTTTTATTTCCTGAGATTTTATAATTTTTATTTTCAACTCCACCCAACTGACCTGTCAGTGATTTTCAGAAATCTGGTATCAACTCCTGAGAGTCAATAGCAACCGTTTTGATCGATCCATCCATTTTTTACATCTTACCAACTTGTTGCAGGTTATTTAAAAGCCAGAAAATAATTTTAGATTGCAAGAATTTTTTTTTTCTTTTTTTCGAGATAATAATGATTAAGTGATACTAAATAGTATTAGTCTTAGTAATTAACCCGTAGCTGGGAGGAAAAGAGATGAATTCATACCATTCCCAAGGGTATTTGCACATAAATAAATATAACAATTGGAACTGGAACTTGACACTCTGATTAACAATTCCGAGCCATTATCCATTATACCACTTGCTTATCCATGCTTACAGCAACTGGTATTCCTAACTGCTTGGTCTCACACTGTCTGCTGACCTGAAATGGAACAAATACATTGAATCAATAGCTTCATCTACCAAAAGGAAAATTGGTTCTCTGTGTCGCACCAGAAAGTTTTTCTTGCTCAAGTCCATCCTTCAAATCTATAAATCAACCATTTGCCCTTGCATGGAATACTGCTGTCATATAGTCTAGAGCCCCCGCTGTTCATCTTAAGTTCCTCAACAAAATCCAGAGACGGATATGCAATGTGATCTGGTACCTCATTTACAGTTGCTCTCTCACAGATTTGCCATCAGTTCCCTCTGTCTTTTCTACAAATACTTTCATGGTAACTGCTCTGAATAGCTACTTTTGCTAGGTCCAAAACTGCATGAATTTAAACATGCTACTAGTTTAGGATCTCAGTCCCACCCTTTCACTGTCAAAACAGTTAAATGTGTCCATCTCTTCTACTCCAATAGTTTCATGTCTCGCGCTTCCCATCTGTGGAACTCCCTTCCTCTTACTTGCTTCCCTAATAGCTATAATCTCCCACTATTCAAATGCAATGTCAATCAACATCTCCAAATGCCTTGGTCTATTCCCTGTCCTTCTCTTCATCCTTTCCTCTATAACACCTCTTTACTCTTGCTCCCACTCTCTGTAACCCCTTGTGTGCTAGTAGCACTCTCGTCTTGCTTGGGGTGAAATGCTTAAAAAAAAAAGAAGTGGTTACACATCTAGTTACTGACTAAGCTCGACATTGCTTGATCTTAAAAATGCTCCCATCTTAAAGGTCTTATTTTTTCTTGAATTTGTTTTTTGAGTGTGACTTTGCATTGTCATGTGGGAGAATAAAAAACATTTTTGTTTACCAACGAAGGGCACTTTAGACATAATGCTTGATTTACCCAATCATGTTGACTTCACTGTATCCGTATACACTGCACAAATGTTTTTAAATATCTCAGTAGAAATATTATCCTTTTGGAATTCATACAGAAAACAATATGTTACTTTTTAAAGTTATAATCCCTCATAAATTTTTTTTATAATAATAATAATAATAATAATATCCTCTCTATACAAGGCCCAAGAGCTACTCAAGGTAGTTACAGATTAAGAGGTAAGGAGCAAATTTTATGTGGATATGTGGGGAAGATAACAGTTAACCCTAGACGTGAATAGGTTAAGATTGTAGTGATCAAGAAAACATCCTCTTGGGAGTCAGTTGAACAAAGTAGCAGTTTGTGGAAAGAAGCTTACATCTTACCAAAGGAATACGGAGGGAATAGTTTGCTACAATGGGCATGGCAGGGTGGGTCTTAGTTGTGAAGGTTAGGACCAGTGGTACTAAGGAGTGTACTTCGTCTGAACATTTTCCATGGAAATAGTGATAGAGCAGGGAAAGCCTTGCAGCGTATTGTCTGTGAGAAAGAGGTTGTAGGGTGGAAAATAATTCATCACCCACAGGGATGCAGAGACTCTTTTGGACTCTATCAAAATGTACTATAAACCTGGGTGGTTGTCTTTTAGTTCATAGCAGTGAATGGTAAACTAATTGTAGACACAGTTTCCTACCGTTCAATCTAAACTTATGTAGAAAATCTGTATTTAGTATTTACTGAAACAATTCTTGTAAAATGTTTTTGTTCAGGTCAGTAAGTCTTGGAAAAATCTTGCTGAAGACAATTGGCTTTGGTACCGAGTCTACAAACAGCTTTCAAGAAAAATGTCTTTGGTATTTATGTCAGAGCACACAAATTGGAAAGAATTTATGAAGGAAGAATTTGAAAAACGAAATACACTGTTGATAAACTGGAAGGTAAAGTAAAAGCTAATTTAACCCAGTTCAAATGTATATATGAATGTGCATGTGTGAATACATATAAATATATAGGTTTGAATAAAACCTATATATTTATATGAATACATATAGATATATAGGTTTGATTAAAACCAGTATATTTATGTGAATACATATGAGTATTATTATTTCTTCAGACTCCTGCAGAGTTAAGGTTTTAGGAGGGGTTGTTGTGGCAAACCCTCCTACCGTAGAATGAACTCTTCCTCCTCTCATAAATACAAACTGCGAGAGTTGGGTAGAGTGGACTGGAGTAGTAGACACAGTGCTAATCTACTTATTACTAACACTATTGTTTTGTATATATCTTCAATATACTTTTTTCAACCTAACTTCATCTTCCATGTCTTTCTTTCTGGCCTCTAAACAGGCCACAACAGATACATATTAATATACAGGTTTGATTAAAAAGAACTGATATCTGTCTGTTTAATTTTTTATTATATTTTAACAATTTTCAGATAAGGTGTTGAGTACTGCACTTGAAGTTGTGGATAAACTTTCCAAATTTCATATTTGGTCATTTTTGTTCAAGTACTTTTCAATTTCGCTTTCATTATCAACACCCAATGTGATGCCTGTGTGGTAATTAGAATTAAAAAACAAAACATGAACATCGGACAATTTGTATATATATATATATATATATATATATATATGAATGAAAGGATAGCCCTGGTCATAACCAGAATTTCACACAATCTTCTGACAACTTGCACACAAATGAAAGAAGGTGGAAACAAGCTTTATATAGCCTGTAATTGTAAATCACAAACCTTAAAGCATCATGGGAAAAAAATAAGACAAAATAAATTATATCATATTAAGTCTCTTCCACACTGCAACAATTTTGGGGATGAAGTTATGTGAGGGGAATTTACCTGTTACCAAAAGAATATGAAGGGAATGAAGATAAGTTGACTGTGTATACGTGGCATAGCGGTTTCTAGCTGTGAAGGTCTGGACTGGTGGAACCAAGGAATGTAGTTTGATTGAACATTTTCCATGAGAATAGTGGTAGAGTAGTGAGAGGCTAACAACATTCCATCTGTGGGAAAGGGGTTGAAGGGTGGAAGACAATTCATCACTGTTGGAGCAATATGATTTCTCACACATCCTTAGAAGATGAAGAGATAGATTCTTTTTCCTTGTAAGTCAATTTAATGATCAGGGTTTCTTAGGAATCTTGTCTCCATCTTTGAGTGAATTTAATGACCAAGATTTTTTAGGAATCCTGTCTCCAGGCTGCCTTTGAATTGGTGAGTGTATAGAGGTCTGTTTTCCATGGCCAGAACTTAAGTGAGAAATCGTATATTTTTACTACTTTCCAACAAGTGTGTTGAAAACCATTTGTTTTTTTTTTTTTTTGATGTCGATCACATCCTTAATATTGAAACGACTGTAGAGCATAGCAAGGGACTGGTGTATATGCATGCAGCTGACCTTGGATGTCATCACAGCTTGTGCAGTGATGTGTGGAATCGTATCATCACACTGTAAAATAACCACAACAGCAACAGTAGTAGTAATTGTCAATTACATTATTCTCATACTAACAAGATACAAATACAAAAAATGTCTGGCCACTCAGCTATTTATATAACACTGGATGAGTTAACTTATGTCTGTTTGTGGAAGCCCTCCATTATCTAATAAGACTTTCCATTTCTACTCTACAATTATTTTACTATTACTCTTCGCTTGGAAAATAACTATATCTGGCCACTGGCCACCCAACTGCTTATATAACACTGGATGAGGTAACTTATGACTGCCTTTTGGATCCCCCCCCCATTATCTAATGAGACCATCCATTTCTACCTTTCAACAAATTTTCAAATAAAAATATTATTAAAATATATTTTGGTCTATGTTGTATTGAGTACTTTTTTAATTTTAATTTCTTTAGCATTTACATATATATATATATATATATATATATATATATATATATATATATATATATATATATATATATATATATAGTGTATCACAAAAGTGAGTACATCCCTCACTCACATTTCTTCAAATATTTAAGTATATCTCTTCCTGGGACAACACTGACAAAATGACACTTTGACACAATGAAAAGTAGCCTGTCTGCAGCATATATAACAGAGTTAATTTATTTTTCCCTCAAAATAACTCAAAATATAGCCATTAAAAGCTAAATCCCTGGCAACAAAAGTGAGTACACCCCTTAGGAAAAGTTGTCAATATTAACATACATGTCAACTGTCAATATTTTGTGTGGCCACCATCATTATCCAAAACTGCCTGGGCATGGAGTTTACCAGAGCTTCACAGGTAGTCACTGGAATGCTCTTCCACTACTCAATGACAACATCATGGAGCTGGCGGATATTTGAGACTCTGTGCACCTCCACCTTCTGCTTGAGGATAGCCCAAAGATGTTCTATTGGGTTAAAGTCTGGAGACATGCTTGGCCAGTCCATCACCTTTACCCTCAGCCTCTTCAGTAAAGCAGTGGTTGCCTTGGATGTGTGTTTGGGGTCATTGTCATTGTCATGCTGGAACACTGCTCTGCGACCCAGTTTCTGGAGGGAGGGGATCATGCTTTGCTGCAGTATTTCAAAGTACATGTTGGAGTTCATGTTTCCCTCAATGAAATGTAACTCTCCAATACCTGCAGCACTCATGCAGCCCCAGACCATGACATTCCCACCACCATGCTTGACTGTAGGCATGACACACTTATAATTGTACTCCTCACCTGGTCGCCACCACACATGCTTAAGGCCATCAGAACCAAACAAATTAAATTTCGTCTCATCAGACCATAGGACATGGTTCCAGTAATCTATGGGCTTTGTTGACATGTCTTCAGCAAGCTGTTTGCAGGCTTTCTTGTGTATTGCCTTCAGAAGAGGCTTCTTCCTGGGGTGACAGCCATGCACACCAATTTGACGTAGTGTGCGGCGTATGGTCTGAACACTAACAGGCTGAAACCCAATCTCTTTAATCTCTGCAGCAATGCTAACAGCACTCCTATGCCGATCTTTCAAAGAAAGCATTTGGATGTGATGCTCAGCACTTGTGCTCAGCTTCTTTGGATGACCTACCCAAGGCCTGTTCTAAGTGGACCCTGCTCTTTTAAAATGCTGGATGATCTTAGCCACTGTGCTGCAGCTCAGTTTCAGGGTGTTGGCAATCTTCTTTTAGCCTTGGCCATCTTTATGTAGTGCAACAATACATTTTTTAAGATCCTCAGAGAGTTCTTTGCCATGTGGTGCCATGTTGGAACTTTCAGTGACCGGTAAGAGAGAGTGTTAGAGCTGCACTACAAATTTGAATACACCTGCTCCCCATGAACACATGGGCATAGTTACACTAATGAGTCACATGACATTTTGGAGGGAAATGAAAAGCAGTACTCAATTTAGACATTTAGGGTGTAGTTTCTTAGGGGTGTACTTTCTTGGGATGGGATGTACTCACTTTTTGTTGCCAGGGATTTAGCTTTTTAATGGCTATATTTTGAATTATTTTGAGGGGAAAAGAAATTAACTCTGTTATATATGCTGCAGACAGACTACTTTTCATTGTGTCAAAAGGTAATTTTTTCAGTGCTGTCCCATGAAGAGATATACTTAAATATTTGAAGAAATGTGAAGGGTGTACTCACTTTTGTGATACACTGTATATATGTGTGTATATATATATATATATATATATATATATATAATCACCATAAAGTTTGTACAGACACTTTTGAAATAGGTCAAGAGTGGAAAGTGAGGTCTGCAATACTCCATTTTTCTAATAATTATAATGCATGAAGGATATTTTGATATTAAAATAAATAGAAGACAAACTGTTTCTTGGAGCTCTAGGAATTTCTGGATTTGTTATTCTCTTTTTGTCATCTTAATTTAATACAAAGTTCTATACCTGGATTTAACTCTTGATTAAATTGATTTTTGTTTAAGGGTCGTTTGGCTCAAATGCGTTCACTTGAGTATCTAAGGGGTGGTGTTCTGTGTGCTGCTGCCTGTCAACATTCAACTGTTGTGGCTGGGTGAGTATATTCATTAAAATGTTACAAAGCTTTTATTTTCTTTTTTTTATCTGTGGTAAATCATATCTCTCTTTCTCTCATATTGTGAATCTGTTTTTAATCAGATGTGGCAAAATCGAGTTGACAACATTAACATTCAATTACAATAGAAAATATTATTAGCCCAACCACTTCTTATTCATTACTCTCATAGATGTTTGTATTGATGTACTCCAGTCAATTTGTACATATATGTGTATGTATATATATCTATATATTTATATACATGTCTATAAGAGTGTGTGTGCATCTAGTGCAGGTATATATATATATATATATATATATATATATATATATATGTGTGTGTGTGTGTGTGAACGAACATTGAAGTCAACACTCAAGGGTGATAGACTGTTGAATTCAATGTTCACTTTTAGATTTACATATGCTCTATCTCTGATATTGAGCACTTTACCCATAAATATAGCACAATTTAAAACTATATATATATATATATATATACACTTTTGACTGGTAGTGTGTGTGTGTGTGGATATACATATATATATATATATATATATATATATATATATATATATACCACCACTCAAAAGTATTTGGCCACCCTCAAAATTTTTTTTATATTGCTTGCTCACCTGTATTTACTCTTTTTGGTTTTATTATATATATATATATATATATATATATATATATATATATATATATATATATATATATATATATATAAAGAAATATAGTCTTAAGGTGTGCTATATTTATGGAATAAAGTGCTCAATATCAGAGATAGAGCGTGTGTAAATATAAAAGTGAACATAGAAGTCAACACTTAGAGGCGACAGTCTGTTTTATGCTATATGTAATCGTCAGGCCACATATATATTTGTGTGTGTGTGTACATGTATATATCTATGAGTCAGTAGTGCATAAATAGTCGAGAAAAATCCAACACTAGCAACCTGAATATTGCATCTAGCATGAAACAGCCTCTGAGTGTTGATGTCAGTATTCACTTTTATATTTATATTTACATACGCTCTATCTCTGATATTGAGCACATTATCCCATAAATATAGCACACTTTAAAACTACATTTTTGTATATGTATATGTATGTATATATGTATATATATATATATTTATGTATATGCATGTATATATGTATATATATATTTATGTATATATATATATATATATATATATATATATATATGTATATATATATATATATATATATATATGTATATATATATATGTATATATATATATATATATATATATATATATATATATATATATTTATATATATATATATATATATATATATATATATATATATATATATATATATATATATATATATATATAGTACCAGTCAAAAGTATTTGGCCACTATCAAAAATTTTTATTTGTCATCCTAAAAGTGTTATTTTTAATGAAACAAGTTAAACACTACAATGGTTTTATTTATTATACTAAATACTAGTTTTCCTCAGTAACTTTGACCTTAGTATACTCAGATATTTTTTGAAAAATTGATTTGAAGGCGTTTTTCTTCTTCAGTACTGAGCATAAATAAAATGTGTTCCAAAAGTTACATTACACCACCACTTGAACTCACATTACACTATATTGCGCCAAATTACTGCTTACTAGATACTACCTGTTTTACCTATGCTGCCAATGTACCTTGCCCAATAGTAAAATCTTTTATTCATATTTTGTTTAAATTAAAACCTAAATTTTGTAACTTTCTTCTGGATCAAAACTTTTTTCTCAACAAAATGCCCAAAACACATGAACTTACACTGGAACAAAGGCAAGAGATCATTACAAACGAAGGATATTCAAGCAGAGAAATTGAAAAAAAAGAAAATTCCTGGAACTACAGTGGATTTATACTGTTAGGAGACATCAGGAAATGGGACAGAACAAGACCAAAATTAAGTAGACCAAAAGCAATAACTAGAGCAGAGGACAATTTAATCAGAGTCACCAACTTGCATGACAGAAGGATGACTATTCCAAACATCACTGCACAGCTGAGCCAATGTTGTGAAAAAATGTATCAAACATTCACTGTGAGGAGAAGACTCTGTGAAGCTGGCCTAATTGGCAAAATTGCTGTCAGGAAACCACTGTTGAGGAATCAAAACAATACCAAAAGGCTCCAGTGGAATAAAGACCTTTGGACTGACGAATCAAAGTTTGAAATCTTGGGGTCAAATATAAGGGTCTATGTGCAGCAAACAGTTGGTTAAAAAGCTGCAACCTCCTGAATCACACCAACTGTAAAGCATGATGGAGGCTTTATCATGGGGTTCTTGCCAATTGTGAAGTTGGGAATTTGCACCAGGTGAAGGGTAAATTGAATCAGACCGGCTATCACAGCATACTGCAGCATCATGTGATCACATCTGGAAGCGGCTTGTGGGTCAAGAATTTGTACTCATGCAAGATAATGACCCAAAGCATACTAGTAAACTCTGCCAGAGGTACATTTAAAGCAAAGAAAAACAGCACGTCCTTCAACTGATGTCTTGGCCGGCACAATTAGTGGACTTAAATCCCATTGAACTGGTGTGTGATGAACTTGACCAAAAAGTCAGAGCTAAACAACTCAGAAGTGCGACTCATCTTTGGCAACTCTTGCGGAAAATCTGGGCAGGATTATCTACTGTTTACCTCAAGTCTTTGGTAGAAAGAATGCCAAGAATCTGTGAAGCAGTGATAGCAGCCAAAGTTTTTTGTGCTTTTTTGCTTTAATCTGTATTTAATGCTCAGGAAGACTTGTATTTAGTGTAATAAATAAAACCATTGTGATGTTTAACTCTTATTGAAAATAACACTTTCAGGATGGGAAATAAAAATTCTTGAGGGTTGTCAAATACTTTTGACTGGTAAGTGTATATACATGTGGAAATTCAGTAATAAAGTGGAAAAAAACTTTTTGATGTTTGTATGTAAAGTGAAAAATTAGAAAATCAAATGACAAATCATTTTAAGTAGACAAAACATTTTCCAAATATTTTTCACTTCACTGATTATCTCGGCCTGTAATTTTATCATTAATAGACTGAATAAGTGATTTGCTTGATTTACCCAACTTCTTTGTGATATTATGAAAGTTTGTCATTGTAAAGCCAGCAGTTTAGCAACAATAATATATTGTTCATCAGAGAATTATATAATTTACAGAATGTAATTTTATCATCACGTTGTAAGAGATAAAAGTCAAAATCTGTAATTTATCTTTCAGTGTTAAGAAGTTCTTAAAACTGCAACTTAAAAAAAATCTTTTCTTTGTTGTTTAATTTTGTAACATATGAGACGCTTGTAAGGTTGTTTAATGTTGAGTATAATTTGTTAGTTTTATGCTAACAAATTTTGGTTAGGTTTATGTCTGAGTCTATATGCAAACATTGGTTGGGTTTCTGCCAGAGTCTATACACAAATAATAGTCAGGTTGATGCTTGAGCTATATGAAAACATTCTTTTTTCTTATTGAAGTCTATATTTGTATGAATATTCATGAACACTGATCAAGATTATGCCCTTGTATGCAAGTTCGACAGATATACAAAAATAGAAAGGGGCGTAAGACAAGAATGTCTTCTCACCAGATTTATTCAACCTATACAGTGAGGTAATTCTGAGAAAATTAGAAATCCTACCAGGATTCATTATTGGCGGACATAATCTTAACAACATAAGATATGAAGGTGACACAGTGTTGATGGCAGATACAGAAAGAAAGTTACAAAAACTCCTACAGAAGGTCATGAAGGAAACAAATAAGAAAGGACTAAACATCAACTGCAAGATGACCGAATTCATGGTTGTTAGCAAAAGGATGAGCCCAAATTGCAAATTGGAGGAACCAAAATTAAACAAGTGTGGCAAATTAAATATCTGGGAAGTGTTTTAACAGAGGACAGAATGCTGTGGAGAGCCATGATTGCCTACATCCTGAGGGGATGCATCAAATAAAGAAGAAAATGAATTCAAGTATCCACCTGGAATGTGTCCCCTTTTTACAAGGTCTTACGCTTCCTCAATGGATCCAATTGCTGTATTATATTTCCCACCAATACAGTAGAGAAATTATATTTTTTCAGCAATCTTAGAAGCAAATGTTAACAAACAGTAAAGTCTAATTTAAGTTACATTTACTTCTAATGTGATTAGTTAAAAATAATCTTTTAAAAATTCAGGTATGGTTAAATTTATCTTTGTGTCTTGACCTTGTATCTGTAGAATTAAAACGAACATTACTGTTAACACGTTAAACGTTGTGACAAATATGGCGATAAAGATGAGGACAGTAGTCCGACTAATGTAAATACTGTACTGTTAACACATAATGAATTTACTATCAGCCTTTTATAGATATTACTAAGAAATTCTGCTTGACATTATAAGAAGTGATATTTAATTTTTTAATTTTAATTTAAAATATATGACATGTTTTTGGACAATTATTTTCATTTTGTGAATACATCCATTTAAAGTTAACTGACCTGTAATAATGTTAAAAATCAGGCTAAATGATAAAAAATGTGATAGTATGGTTGAGTTTAAGTTTCCCCCCTCAAAAAAAAAAAAAAGCACAAATAAAATAAAAATGGCAAATATTTAAAGTAAGACACTATACAGTACTTAGGGAAAAGGGTTAAATTTAGGAACATTAAGATTACCTCCTCGGTTATCCATTGAAACTGCTATTCACTGTAAAAAAAAAAAAAAAAGAAAAGAAGTCAGTCCCCACCATGGACCATTTAAAAGACAGTTCATGCAGCGGATTGGTTGTTATAAACATCCAATCGGGTGTGCGAAAAACATGGTCTTTCTTCATCAAATTTATTAAAAGACCAGAGTAGCTGTTAGCGTTTGATTGAGAGGGGGAATCAGGGATTGATCTCCTCTGATTAGGTCGATTTGTTGATGGGGAATATGATGTTGAAAGACCCGAAACTCCTTGATGAACCAAATCAAATAACATCACTGATGACCCCCTCGGGCGCCTACTTAAGAGCGTATTTTTGAATTTGCATAACAGTATTTGAAAGCATATTTTAATTAATTCTTTTGCAAGGCAATAAAGCCACTAAAGCACAAGGGGTTACTGAATATTAGAGAATATGAGGAGAGAGAACAATAGGTTCAAGTATAAACATGATCAATTTTTTATCTATGGACTCAACTTTAAACATGATTGATTTTTTACCTATAGTCTCAAGTATAAACACGATCAATTTTTTACCTATAGTCTCAAGTATAAACATGATCAATTATGACCTATGGATTCAAGTATAAACACAACCAATGTTTGCCTACAATCTCAAACAACACAATCAATATTTTACAGATCCATGTATAAACACAAAAAATATTTTTCTATAGACTTAGGTATAAGTCAGACCAGTAGACTCAAATACATTAAAAAACTGATTTCAAAATGAAATGACCTAACAAATGTTGATGTGTCATAAAATTCACCACTTCACATCAATCCAAACTTAGTCATATAAAAAATATTTTAATATATTAAGGTGGAATTTATAGCGTTTTATTTATATTTTAATTTAATTCTATTTCTTGATTATATATGTTGTTTTTTGTTCTGCTTTTCAAACTTTTTGTGTATTTCCTTTGTTTCTAGTTTCTCAAATGGTCAAGTGAAATTATGGAATCTGGACAATGAAGAAGAATGTATTTTTAAGCCTTCAGACATGGCATTAGTTTTAGATGAATCTGCCGAGGAGGGCACAATAGCCAATGGCATTACAGATTTGTGCACAAGTGATCACATGACCCTGGCTGCATTTACGCATGGTAAATACCTCTTCCATTTACTTTTTAACCAACTTTTATTTCCTTTTTTAAGTTTAAAAGTTCAAGTAGAAATATGGTTTAAATTTAATATTTTTTTAAACATTCTTCAAAACAACATTCATTCTGTTCTACATTCCATTTATTTAAAAACTTATCGAAAATCAAATTTCCACTTGATCTGTTTAAAAATCTATTGAAATTCAGATTTTCATTCCATCTATTTAAAAATTTATTGAAATTCAAATTTCCATTTCATTTATTTAAAAATTAATTGAAATTCAAGTTTCCATTCCATTTATTTAAAACTTTATTGAAATTCAAATTTCCATTCAATCTATTTAAAAATTTATTGAAATTCAGATTTTCATTCCATCTATTTAAAAATTTATTGAAATTCAAATTTCCATTCCATTTATTTAAAACTTTATTGAAATTCAAATTTTCATTAAATCTATTTAAAAATGAATTCAAATCTATCCATGAATTTCTTGCATAATGAATAACTAATATGTTAAAATAATATGCTTGAAAGATGAGGATGGTACATGGTGAAGGGAACTAACATATTTTACTCTAAATCATTTGTGGATCTCTCACTTATGAAGAAAACTTTAAATCATTCATGGCTATGAAGAAATAATTCAATTATTCATGGATCTCTCATAGTTATGAAGAAAACTTTAATATGTGAATCTCACAATTATGTGACCCAAATTTTCAATACTTTTCTTAAATCCTCAAAAAACATAAGTGAAATAATAGTGTACTGAAATTAAATCTGAAACTGTGCAAAGTAAATCAGTTGATTTTTGTTTTCTTTCAGGCTTCGTAGATGTCTGGTTGCATGAGGGTGATCTTTCCCCTGTTCACACTTTCCACTGTGGCCAGAAAATCGATTTCATGTTATTAAAAGAATTGAACCAAGAATCTCTGGTTGTTCTTAGTTATGGGCCTTTTGTTCAGTTGGAAGCAATCTACAAAAATACAGAAGACGAGCAGCCTCACTTCATTGCTCGGCACAAACTAGACATCAACAACAAAGCAAGTTGACATTAGCCTTCTTTTTACTTCTATATTAACACACACGCACACACACAGATGCAAACAGTAGGTGCGATGGATAAATTATCGTCTCAACTACACAAAAATCAATAAAATTGACATTTTATTTTAACAGATATATTTACCAAAATTACACAAAAATATCTTGAAATACTAAAGAGTAAATTTATTCAATAAAATTGCCATTAGCTTCAACCACGGCCTCCAGATGACTTCGGAATCTCCTGCAACTCTTCTGGACGGTCTCCTTGTTTAAGTTGGTGAATGCTGCCATAATCCTTGCCTTCAGTTCATCTTTGGTGTTACAAGGTGTTTTGTTGGTCACTCACTCAACTGCACCCCACACATAATAATCAATGGGGTTGCAGTTAGGTGGCCAGATGTAAGGGGTGATGTGGGGGTTGAAGCTGAAACATTGTGACTATGACAACCAAGATGAGGATACTAGTCAGAATGAATCAGTGTATAATAATGATAATTCCTCATCTCAGAAATGGCTGAAACATTGTGACTATGACAACCAAGATGAGGATACTAGTCAGAATGAATCAGTGTATAATAATGATAATTCCTCATCTCAGAAATGGCTAAAACGTTGTGACTATAACAACCAAGATGAGGATACTAGTCAGAATGAATCAGTGTATAAAAATTATAATTCCTCATCTCAGAAATAGCCAAAACATTGTGACTATGACATCTAAGATGAGGACACTAGTCAGAATCAATCCGTGTATAATAATGATAATTCCTTAAAAATTCAGAAAGCAAATATCTTAACACTTGTTAAACTTTCTTGTTTCTAACAAGATGTTTACAATATATGCTAATATAATAATCTATTGTCAGATGGCTGCATGTTGATTGTGTTGACATTTCTATCTGTCATGTGTCATTTCTTTTGCTTCATTGTCAGAACAATGACATTCTGCATCAAAATAGAACCAGTTTTTACCAATATAATTTTATTTTTAACTTCAAATTTAAATAAATGGGTGATTTTAATTTTGAATATCTCCAACTATAATTTGAACAAATTGTTAAATAAATTATAAAATTATTTAAAATATAAAATATGAGTAAGAATTTTTTCTTTATTTTTTTTTCCCCTTTAAACAATTTTTGTAGAATTGCATTTGTTAGATCTTCCTCTATCCACAACAATTTGTCAGAATCCAAAATAATATTCATTTTCTTTTTTTCATTTTAGATAAAATCCTATTTATAATATAAATATAATGTCAAATCAATCCCTTCTTTTTTAAAGAGTTACCTGTACTTTTTTACATTTTTATTTACAAATGTCAAGTAGATAGGATTACCTATTGCCCGGTTCACACTCTTCCCATATCTTTTGATTTGGAGTAGTGGTTTATCTCTTGTTTCTTGTTTAGGGTTAGATTTCCGGTTCCTTCTAAAGTCTACTTCAATTCTATACTTCTAACATTTCTGCCTGAACTCTGAAATTTTATTCATTAATTAAATCTTGACCTCTTTAATCTAGAATTAGCCATTATCTTTCCTGCATAGCCCCCAAGAAGTTTCTTATGATCATACAACACTACACCGTAACCCTCTACCTTGAGTGACTCTTGGGTATTGTACTGGTTGAACATTAGTAAAAAATATAAAAATCACTGATAACTGTGTATTACTGATGATGTCCTTTTTCTCAATTCGTAATAGTATGCAGTTATCAATGACATAAGTACAGTTTCAAACTCAACATTTGTAAATAAAGACAAAATACAGATAACTCTTTAAAAAACCATGGAAAAATTTGAGACCGTATTTATATTATGAACAATCCTTCCCACCTTCTAAAGTGAAAAAGATATTTTTTTGATTCTGACAAATTTCATGGCTTCAAGGTCTAATGAATGCTAAACTACAAAAAATATTCTTAAAGAAGTTTTTCCCTATTTTGAATGGACCAGACAATTTAAACATTGCTGTCATATTAATCAATACTAGTTTTCCTGTTTCACTGAGGCTGACCTTAAACACAAGTGTTATCACCTCCTCCATCTTCTCTCTCTCTTTCATTGAAACCAAACAGCTTCTCTGATATGTCTTTTCCATCTTTCCTCACAATCAAAATGGAATAGTCCATTATTTATGAGATATTGGCAGGGTGTAATGTATTTGGTGGCCAAAAAGTTTGGTTTATTAAGTACTTAATAAGTGAACAAAATTTTTGGCTAACTTTGGTTAAGTAAGGAATGAAGGAAAAAACAGAATTATATCAAGATAATTTAACAATTTTGCTTTTCATGATTCTTGAAATGTTATTGGAATTGATTTGAGAATATTTTTTTCACCATTCTCAATGCTTCTGTTTCTATTATTAACAGATTTCTGCAGTGAAAGTGATTCCAGATTCTTCAGCTAGTCAAATCTTGGATTGTAATCTGGTCATCGCCACAAACTACACAGTTTCTGTGCACCAAATATGTCAGGGCCCCACTAACCTTTCGGAAATCCACAATACGTATGGTTCACCAGTCAGCTGTGTAGAGATTTCTGCCAATAGCCAAATGGCAGTTGGACTTAGCAGTTCTTCCGGTTTATTTGATGGTTATCAGGTTTGATATTTTGGCATTTCTTTTCATCATCTGACTTCAGTATTATTATTGATCTATATTATAAACTAGCGACACTAAAGAATGGAGCTTGTCAGAACATTTGCTATGGAACTAGCAACAGACATGCAATATTTTGTCTGTGGGGAAAGAGGCTGTAGGGTGGAAAATAAGTCACCCCCCCACTATACACATGCACAAAACTGCTTGAATGCTTTTTGAACTTTATCACAGCTGGAAATTTAGAATTAGGCAACTCCAACTTATATGAGGAAACAATACTCTATTTTTGATCTGATCTGATTCTTGTAAAGATAAAACATGGAAGAAGGAGTCAGCTAGTTTCTGGAGTGATACAAGGAACTGACTGTTTTTCCAGGAATGAATTGAATATACGAGTTCTACACGAGGTCTGAAATGAGCTTGAATAGATGTCAGAGGCAAAGGAGCCTCATTATGAGTACAACTGTTCAACAGGACTGAAGAAAATTAGTTCAGTGATAATGTAATATTACTAGCTTGGTTTTGAATGTATGGAGCTGTTAGAGCTTAATCAGAGGAGAGATCAGTTGCCAAGCTCTGATCATCTAGATTTTTTGCAGTTACACCCAGAAACTGTGTTATTGATATTTACTGAGAATGTAGATCATTAATATAAAGTTCAAAAAGAGAGCCTTGGGGAACACCTGTATTGACCTCATGGCCTTCAGGAGACTGATCATTAACAACAAATGACATGAGTGGAAAGACTTGACAATTGCAAACACTCTTCCAAGATGTCATAGTTGAAGAGTCATGTCAAAAGCCTTTAAGATATCTAAGGCAATCACTCCTATAATGAAGTTACTATATAGTGCTTCATTAATTCTGTGTATAATGTCTGTTAAAGCATCAGCAGGGGACCTAAAGGAGTGAAATCTATACTGTTTGTTGATCAGGGGTTTCTTTATATTGAGGTGATTAACATCTTTCTTGTTGATAATAGAGTCAAAATATTTGCTGATGATGCTAAGGAGGTTGATGGGGTCGTATTGTGATGAGGATGAGTGCTCACCTGCATTCTTGAAAACAGCATACAGTGGACATTGTCCATCAACTTGGGAAACATTTCTCCTTTAGGCAGCTGTGAAACAATTTTGCCAAGATTGGACATAACTTTGGGCTTAGGTTTATTATCAAAAAGACCAGTAGCCTTTGTAGATCCATAGCTTTTGTTGAGTTAGGGAAACTCTACAAGCCAAGATAAAGAAATCACAAACTTTGTGTTTTGTGAGACGAGGTAAAAGTCAGGTAGGGAGTCAAGTGTGACAAGTAGCAGTTTGACCCCAAAATTCGCAAAGTACACAAAATTAATTTGCTTGGACATCCATTTTTGTGATAGGCTTTGATAACTTTAACAAATTGTTTGGTTGTTAATCTTCCCATGGTTGAAATTGCCAAAGACTTAAGTTCTTAAATCTGAAAGAAAAAGAAAAAAATCATTAGTCGCTTAAACTTAATTCACATTTAAAATCGATCCAAGTTATTAGGACACCTTTTATTTTTATTTTTTTTATTGGTATTGTTTTTAAATATATCACATTTTTGTTAGGAAAGGAGACATGTAGGATCCTGGACATAAATATATCATGGAAAACTCAGAAATTAGTACACTTTCTATACATTCTTGCCTTTATAAGATCTCTTTTAATTACAACTACAATTTTTGAGTCTAAATCATGGTCAGACATATTACGGTGAATGATTAATAAATTACAATGTGGGGAAAATAGAAACGGCCTACCTCACAAACGCTCTCGTAGCTGCCTGGCCTGTGGGTTGAGAAAGGAAAGAAATGATCCAAGATGGCGTCCATGACTTTTAATATTCACGGTCTCGTGCAGTCACGCAAAGTCGCGTTACACACATGCTAATGAGGTGTGTCTGGGCTCCATAAAAGCAGGTTGCTTGGAGACATTGGCAGACGAACATTACACCTGTGCTTGGTTGGTGTACATCGTTTTGCGTTGCAGCGTGTCAGACATTTTCAGACGGAAAGAGTTGCGTCCCTTACACTGTTGAAGTCGACTCATTTGCTACATTACAGTGAATGATTAATAAATTACAATCTTTTAAAAATCAATACACTCAGTGCATGTATTTGTAGAGACTGTTTAAAAAAGAAAGGGATGTTTTGAATATACATCAGATCAAATATAGTGTTTATAGTAAAAAAAAATACAGACCCCCATTAAATATAGTCTATATAGGAAAAAAATATACATCCAATTAAATATAGTGTTTAAAAAAAATATACATCTTATTAAATATAGATTTTATGGTAAAAATATATTAAATATAGTTCATAATAAAAAATATACATCCCCATTAAATATAGTGTTTATAGTAAAAAAAAAATGTACATCCCCATTAAATATAGATTTTATGGTAAAAATATATTAAATATAGTGTTTATAGTTGTTGTAGAGTGGTTTCCCAGTGGAGGCTTGTATTTGTACTAAGTCGGTTCTAAAATAGGTTTGACGTACAAAATGTTAGGAACTTGATATAATAGGTAATGACACAGAGAAATCTAGTGGTGGTTGCTGATACTTTAGTATCCGACTAACGGTCGTCCGACATCGACTGACTGACCAACTCACTGAGCGACTACTACTACTCCTACTCCTACTTATTATAGGTGGGAGAGTCTATTAATAATAGAATAGGTGTGTTCCACTATAACAATAGTAAAAAGTATATTAGTTCAGTCCACATCGCTTTGGTGATGAAATGATAATAAAATCTGAATGCTTAATGTTGTGGTAACAACAACACAAATAAGGACAATAGACAACATGTAAATAATGTAAAAAATGATAATGCCTCATCCAAGAAATTCAGACAAATTATTAAATCTAAGTTGTTTGTTCATTTAAAATACAACATTTATTAGAAATATATTAAATACAAAGAGACGTCATAAAAATAACTTCAAAGCACTGCAAAATTTGTCTTCTACTCATTTCCTGTTACTCAGGGGTTGTTGCAAGACAGAAAGGGAAATTAGCCTTTTCAACATGGATATCCATTTCAATTTCATTCAAATTGTGTCTGTAGGTATGTTTGGTTTTGCATGTGTGCATGTATAATTTAATTCAATGACAGATCTAAAAATATTTCTATCAAATAAACTTTAAAAAATAATTCTGTTTATTACCAAATAATTTCCAAAAAGTTCAATAAAATCTTATTATAGCCCCTTTCACTGTCATCTACACCCAGTGGTGTAACCACATTTAGTGGTCTGGTCCTCAGGGTCTTAGAACAATGTTTTAACTACAGGGCTAATGCTGTGCTAGTCAATATTGACGCTGGTCCAAGCTTGTTGTTGGTCACTGGCCACTTCACTCCAAACCAACTTTGCCCACATTGTTTTCAGAGCAGTGGAAAATCAGATGTCATAGTAATTGAAGCACTGGTTCAAGCCGTGGTCGGTACTACATTAAAGGAAGAAATATCTTCACAGTGAAAAATAAAAACGAAAGATTCATTTAATTGGTTTATATAGTTGTTGGTATAATAAAAATTAACCCTTCCCTCATCAATCTCAATAATGACACTGTGCCTTGCCTAATTCTGGGGTTCAAAGTTCTTCAGAATCAAGAAATCAGGTGGCAGCTGATGTGGATTCCAGAAGCATGCAGTGTGGGATTCGCAATGCTAGTCTTCAGGTTCTCAAAGTTATCTGTTTATATGCTCTTCAGCCTAAAACTGGTGTGGGGCTGAAGGGTTCTGGGGATTCAATGATTAATCAATTTTCACATTAATCCTAATAAGGGTTCTTTGTTCCCCATTTCTGCTTTCTTAATCAACTTTTCAAATTTGGAGAATTATCCACCTTCTTGGGAGTAGTTACAGAGATTTCTCCTCCCTTAAAATCTAATTTGCTTTACTTTACATCTCATACCATCACTCCATAAAGATGGTACTAAATTCTCCCTCGTCCTTCCATTTCAGCATTCAACCTCAGCCTACTTCCCAGGGAAGGCATGACTGTCTTTGTGACAGATCTAATTTTTGAAGCATGTGGGCAAATTAATTTGAATTTTCTTGCTTCCTCAAGGAAGGGAAAAAATTATTTCTCCATTCCTGGACTTATCTTTGTCTATATAAACCAAAATTACCTGCTTGTCAAATGCAGGACCTGTCTTCATAACTTTAACCTTCAAAAAGGATTTGTTCCTTGTTTACATTTCCCCAAGTTCCCATTTCATTTTTGTCAGCAAAAATGTTTCCACTCACCCTCTCTATCTTCCCACTTACATCCCATTCTGGGCTTAATCCTTTCCTGCTCAGAATTAACATCTAACCACTTCATGACCTCAGTGTCACATTATAATTATCTTATTTTTCTGGGTTTAAAATATTTTTTTTGTCATGTCACCAACTTTATAAGTTTGTTGCTCAGGCTTGGCTAAGGGTTGTCCAGACAATGGGAGGTAGATGTATTATTCCAATGTCATATTTCAAATTTAGTCTAATTGTGTGTATGTGTGTGTGTGTGTGTGTGTGTGTGTGTGTGTGTGTGTGCACGTGCATGTGTTTATATATTAAATAGCACAAACACATGTAATTCATTCACGCGCAACATATACATGCAATCACTGCAGACAGCATGTAATTAAGAGAAAATTATCTCTTCTTTTATAATACAGACTGGAGTCTTATATATATATATATATATATATATATATATATATATATATATATGATAAAGTAGAAAAAAAGTTTTGTGTAATGCATTTCATCCCTTACAGGTTCACTAAGTTCATTTACAAAGGGACAATGCATGTCACACAAAAACTTTTTCCACTTTGTCATATATCTTTCCTCCAAAACTATTCTTGATATATAAAAATTTATATCTATCTATCTATCTATCTAGCTATCTATCTATCTGTTCATATCTATCTATCTATCTGTTCCTATCTATCTATCTATCTATCTATCTATCCTAATAAAACATTTTTAGACTCCATACAGATGATAGGGACAAAAATGTATAATTCAACATTTGGTAGATTTCTAAGCATACAAGAAAGAATTCTCGTTAGAAGAATTGTCTGGCACAACTTTCCTCTCAGTAGATCTAGCAGTTGATTCAGTATAATCATTCCACTTCACGTCAGTGGAAAAATGTGAGACCAAGAAGATGCAAAGAGTTGCTCTCCTGGAGGTTAGCATCAGCCATACTGATGGAGAGCAAAAATAGTTCTCTATGATGACTAAAAGATAGCAGTTTCATTTTAGAATGCATTAAAATTTACAAGCCATTTCTTGCCCCAGTTAACAACTGACAGGAGGTCATTTTCAAGATTAGCAACTAGTTTTACTTTGTGGGATATTACTATTAAGGCATAATTAAATAGTTGTCATCAGCAGCATTCATTACTAATTCTATCTTCTGAATATTTTTTTATTTCTTTTGCAGCTGAAGCTTTATGACATTTTCAGTGGCAAATTGCTAAACAGCCTCCATGGCCACACATGGTACATCACCTGCATACACCAAGGTGGCACGTCATCCCCTTTTTTGATGTCCACAGGCTGTGCTGACCGAAAGGTACGTCTCTATGATTCTCGACAGACTCACCCTGTCGCCACATTTGCAGGCCACAGCCAAAAAATCTCAGCTTTACAAATGGATGATTGGAAAATAGTTTCTGGCTGTGAAGATGGCATCATTAGTGTTTGGGATCAGCGGATGATGTCCAGGCTTTGGGAGGTTCGCAGCCGACATCCAGTTCGATTATGTTCCTATGATGACCGACGATTGATTATTGGAAATATTCCCGAGGACAAATTTGCCCAACTCGATGAATTTGATTATTTTGCTGACCGTAACGATCGTGGCACATTGCACGTGTATGACTTTTTGTGCGACCAGAGCCATCGAGATCACTTACTCGACATTTGTCAGTCGGGCTATGATCAGGTCCATGGATATGATTATAACATAAAACTGACTATGCCTTATGATATTATACTGTGACCAATGTAAGCATATAGATGTATATATATATACATATATAAAATATATTTTTTTAATTTTCTTATTCTTTTTACTTTTTCTATCAAAAGCTGATTCTTTCCAACGAAGTTAATTTGTGTAACAATATGATTTCTCACACATGTTTAGAAGATAGGGAGATAAATTCCTTCCTTTTAAGTCTACTCAGCTATTATAGTTTCTTAGGATTTTTGTCTCCAGTCCATCTTGAATGAACTTAGGAGTTAGTGTTTCAGGATTCATGTCCCACGTTTGCCTTTGAATTGGGAAACATAAAAATTTTATAAATCAATGAACTTAATCATAAAAGTAGTCTTTTGAAGATTTGACTACCCATGTGCTTTTGAGGTGGCCTCAACATTTCTGGATGTGGGATGGTACCCCAGGATTAAATCAATGACTTTAGATAATCATAAAAGTAGTCTTTTGAAGATTTGACTACCCATGTGCTTTTGAGGTGGCCTAACACTTCTGGATGTGGGATGGTTTAAATCAATGACTTTAGATAATCATAAAAGTAGTCTTTTGAAGATTTGACTACCCATGTGCTTTTGATGGGGATGGCAATGACTTTAATAATCATTAGTCTTTTGAAGATTTGACTACCCATGATTTTGGGTGGTCTCAACACTACAGGGGATGGTACCCCAGGATTAAATCAATGACTTTAGATAATCATAAAAGTAGTCTTTTGAAGATTTGACTACCCATGTGCTTTTGAGGTGGCCTCAACACTTCTGGATGTGGGATGGTACCCCAGGATTAAATCAATGACTTTAGATAATCATAAAAGTAGTCTTTTGAAGATTTGACTACCCATGTAGTTTTGAGGTGGCCTCAACACTTCTGGATGTGGGATGGTACCCCAGGATTAATCAATGACTTTAGATAATCATAAAAGTAGTCTTTTGAAGATTTGACTACCCATGTAGTTTTGAGGTGGTCTCAACACTACTGAATGTGGGATGGTATCCCAGGATTAAATCAATGACTTTAGATAACCATAAAAGTAGTCTTTTGAAGATTTGACTACCCATGTGGTTTGAGGTGGTCTCAACATTTCCGGATGGTGGGGTGAGACCCCAGGATTATCCATATAAGCAGAGAGAGGAGGAAGTCAGGAGGAAAGTGAGTCCGTCCGTGAGCGAAGTAAATAGATGGCCAGAGGAGTTGGAGCTGCCCAGCAGACAGTAACAGAAGCACCAGTAGTGAGGAATAAGGAGTTGCCGAGCACAGAGGCCAGTGAAGTTAAGGAGATAACAGTTCAGCCAAAGTGAAGAATAGCCGGCTAAGTGAGAAATTGCATTGTTGTGAACTCCTAACTATACAATAGTATTATTTTGTTGAAAGCGATCACGGCCGAGAAGACAAACCTGTGCACATAGCGAGTTGGGTGTATATTCAGATACACTCAACCTTGGGTGTCTTGACGATGAATAATCAGTGAATATCACAATTTCACCACAAATGGCAGCACATTTGCATTTGACAAATATTCTTATAGGCTTCTGTTCAAGCTATGTGGTATTTTTAATCAGAAAATTGACAGTGCCTCAACCATATACTGAGACCACTGTGTGTGTGTGTAAAAAATTTCAAATAGTGTATATCTGTAAAAGGACAATACCAATAAGCTATGCGGTATTTTTATTCAGAAAACTGACAATGCTGCAAATAATTTTTATTTCAAAAATATCTGTAAAAGGACAATACCAATAAGCTATGCGGTATTTTTATTCAGAAAACTGACAATGCTGCAACAATATACTGAGACCAATGTGTGTGTGTAAAAAATTTCAAATAGAGTATGTCTGTAAAAAGGACAATACCAATAAAGACAAAAATAAAACTTATCTTAGCTGACATGGTTCATCCTTTGAGGAACTTTATCAAAGCAAATTCAAGGATTTTATTTTGTAACAAGCATTTATGTACAAGAGCAAAAATCTTAATCTAAGAATGCTCATAAATATTCCTCAGGTTAGCCTAAAAGTCAAGCAAACTATGAAGGACATGAAGTGATACAATTCAATGTCTAACAAACAAAAGTGAGTAAGTGACGATTTTCAAATTTTTTTAATGTCAATTGGTATTTAACTATCCTTGTAGGATTCTCTTCAGTATTTTTACTCGTAAATATTTTTTTAGTAATTTCTATGACAAGAAAAAGCAATAAAATACCAAACAATACAAAGTATATTATTCTATTTAATCTATGCAAGCATTTGGACTTCTGCTCAGTGTTGCCAACATTTGCATTATTACAGGAACTAAGTTTCACCCTGCTTCAAGCATGTGCACATCATTAGTCAAGAATGGCCTGCAGTCTTCTGCTGTTCTCCCTGATTATAAAAAGTATGTGAAAAATTTAAAATATATGGAATGATAAAATTTTTAAATTCAGATATTTTTTTTTATAGATGTGTCTGGGTATATAGTTTAGACGATTTAATTTAGTTTCTTTATACTTTGTTTTTATCATGAAAGAATGAAATTTTTTCGGCATTCCACCATTAGTTGCTATTTTTTAAGCAAAGAGTATCAGTCCTGCCTCACTATTCCTGCTCTGCAAAAATATTTAGAACGATGTAAACTGAAGTTGGTCAGTCAGAAGGTTATACATACATTTGTTTGTCTTTTTAATCAATTTACCCCAAGCAATGTAATAATGTCACTAAGATGCAAGGGGCTACTGGGAGATGGCACAAGTTTCAGAAATTTTCTTTTCTTTCAGAAAATAAAAACTGATACAATAGTATTTCCACTATAAGGAATAACAAAAGAAAAAAAAGAATACAAATCCAATTCAATTATACAGGAAAAAATATTTATTACTGTTATGGCCTGGTTCCTTGTACCACGGTGATAGTCCAAGGTAGAACCAATAAAGAAGAACTTGAACACGGATATGGAATAACACAGATATATTACAAACAGGAATATATACAGAGAAGTAGAAAGTGTTAGTACGAACAATCAGGTTTAGTAGTAATTGTCTGAACGTGATTCTGTTTCGGACTGCCTCTGACTTCGACTGACTGACTGACTCGCTTGCTCTGACTGACTAACGGACTTCACTCCAGACTTCAGACTGAACGGTATTTAGTCACCCCCCCCACAAGGGCATCATGTGGCACAAGGACGGTTTAACGTGGGATCTCCGAGCCCGTAGGCTCGGCTGTAATATGCCCTTTGAACCCGTATAAACGGGTTCAGGGTCGATTTAACTCCCAAAGAGACTCCGCCTTTCGGGCGTAGCCTCGTTCGGGTTTCTCCCTGCCCGAAGGCAGAGAGTTCAACCGATCAGCCGGTTGCCCGACTTCAGACTGAACTCCCTGCTTCTTCTTGAGGTGCAGTATTTATTATGTATGGAATAGTCCATTATGTTATTACGGGTAAGGTCCCATAACAATTACTAACCAACTAAACAAGGGTGCTTACAAAAATTTGTCCCTTTTTGCTGAGAATAGGATAACCTATTCTCTAACAAAATGTAAAAACAAAAATACCAGAATAATAAAACTTTAAAAATTATGATGCACAAAACAAAATAATGAAAGATCAAGCCCACCTGCTGTGTAAATGATAACAAAAAAGAGCCTTTGCTCTACAGTATGCCCTTTCTGTTTTTTCAACGTTCAAAAGTTCTTTTCTTTATATATTTTTCTTTTCTTTCTTTTAGAGACAAAGTTCTCATTTCTTTGGTGACCAAGCTCCCTTTTTTTTTTCTTCTTATTTTCTTCCTGTCCAAATGGAAAGTTTGTCTTTCTTTTACTATGTGGCCAAAGAAGGGGAAAACTTCCTTAAAACATGTGGTAATACAACTTCTTGTAACATATTTGCTTCTTCTTCTTCACTGTAAATGCTTTTAGCCCCAAACAACACTTAGGCACTTCTCAGTTCTTTCTTTACAGTAAACTTTGTAATGTCCAGCTCTTCTTTTCTAGGGGCTTCTTCAAGAGGGCTTCTTTTTAAACTTTCTCTGAAGACGTAAAGGGAAACTTGTCTTCAGCAACTTTGGTTCCCCATACATCCTTTAACTGCGAAATGCTGCCTGCCATTTCAGGTAGGAAAGAGAAACGAACTTCCTATTCCTAGGAGGTATAGCTTCCAACTTTCTACTACTTTCCAGTTTCAGTTCTCCCTTCCCCTTCAAAGGGGATGGTTGACATTTTAACTGTCCAACCAGAGCCCATAAAAAAATATCAGCTGGTTCTTAGGACCAGTAATACATTGAGAGTCTTTTTTTTCTCAAAATTTTCAAACAGGAAGGAGTCCTCTGTCAAAGTTTGAGTTGTTACACAACTTTCAGACAAAGACTAGAGTCAGAGATCTCTTACCTTTACAGCAAAAAGCACTAACATAAAGTTAATGATTGACAGCTGAGGAACTGCTGCCCAGTCTGGCAGATGCGGTGCACACAAGGTATCCCCCTTCATGACTGTGTTCATAGATGGATCTACAGACATAATATGTATATGTCCAAATTATTGATGCAGAGTCATTTCAACCAAGTGCTCATTTTGTTTGTTGTTATAATGGACAGGAATTGCAAAATGCATCCATTTGCGAATTGGAAATCTCATTGACCAAAGTAATGAGTATGGGATCAGATTGGGCTGCAGTAATGACAGAGAGAAACAAAAACTGCGCAGGTGTCTGGTGAATGGCGAATACACACTGTGTTGCATATGCCCTGGCTTTGTGCATATCTGAAGCAACTGATTCAATAGCAGATCTCAAAGTGCATCTGCAGATACTGACTGATCTGTTTTATTGCATAAAAAAGAAAAAAAAATAATCTGCTGGATGATACCATGCTCACTTACAAAGAATTGGATTCCATTCGAAGGCTATTGTACTACAATGCTCTTCAGAATGTGCACAGAACAATTGGTAGCCTATTGGTATAATTCACTGAAAAGTCCTAGAATATCAGCAAAGACCCAAAAATAAATGGCCTAAAAAAATAAAAATAAAAGTGAAGTTAGATTATAAAAAATAAGATCAAGAAAATGGCATCTCCCAACCTGACAGTATTAACCGGAGAGACATCCAGGGCTAACATGGTGAGCATCATCAGATCACAAAAATCACATACATTCCAGGTTTCCAAACACATCTTTGATGACTGTATTTGGTGGGTTGGGTCTTTGTCTCATCTGCCTCTTGAGTCTATGTATTAATAATTTTATTTTTTATGCTATTTTAGAAGTATAAAAAAAGAATTTAATTCAAGCCGAGTGAAATGATACTTTTGAGTTGAATTCATTTCTTTTATTTTTTTATTATTTTCTGTTTCATATCATAAAATATTTATTAAACTAAAGGAACTGCTATAAAAAACGTGCAAAGAAATATTGAATTGATATAGTTAATTGAGTGCAATCATTATTTTCTTTTTGAACTTCCTTACTAAAAATAGTTAAACAGTTATAAAAATGAAAACATGAAATTCTTTTAAAAATTGTTAAAACTTGACATTTTCAGTCTTCAAACATGTTTTTATTTTAAAAAAAAAATCTTTAAAAAAAAACCTTGAAAAATTCCAAGAAAATATTTGAAAAATAAATATTTAGTATAATTTATTTTTCCTGTCAAATCTGAAAAAAAAAATAATGTTTTATAAAATTATGCAAGTCATAAATAACCAAGTTGAATTTTTTTCTCTTTTTTATGATGTGTTTCATCCCTTAGGACTTCATCAGACTAAAGTAATGTTTTTGTTGATGGGAAGAAATATTGAATTGATATGGTTAATTGACTTCAGTCATTATTTTCTTTTTGAACTTCCTTACTAAAAATAGTTAATCAGTTAAAAAAACTAAAGTGTATGGAGAGTAAAAGTTGGAAATACTAATTGCCCACAATGGACATAAGCACACCCACAAATGGGTTGAGGATTACCAGATGACTACCCAGCCCCTGATCAATGCTTTTCAGTTTTGATTGGATTGGGACCATCTGAAGAAAGTTGTCAAAGCATAGCACTGACCCAGAGGGAGCATGTGGAAGCTTTGGGCATTGATGACAAAATACTGCCTAAGAGATTTCCCCAACATCAACATCCTTGCACAACTGGGGTCACCAACTTCGCTGTGTCTACAGCTGGCTATGAATGAGGGTTCCCTACTCAGAAACTTGTCCTCACCAGAACATACTGCCATTGGAGCATCAGATAGCTTCTTAATGTCAACCTGGGGCCCAAGTCAGAATTCCCTTTTGAAGCTGCACTGGCCAAATGCAAAAGAATCAAGCAGAGAAAGCTGTACCCTACAAAGTACAAGTAATCATTGAAAAATGCTATTGATCTGCTCATAATACACCACCAACATACCTGCCTCATTTGATCTTTCTCAATATATCTTCCACTATTTCAGTTAAGTTTCATTGTTGTACTAAATGTTTCTTAGTGACTGACTGGGTTAATTTTCTCATCAACTAAAATCACAATTGATTTTGTTGATTATTTTCAGACTAAAAGATCTTGATGAGAGTTTGCAGAATGTTTTGTTCATCTATCTACATATAAAATTCTGTGACTTGTTAGTCCGTCCATCACACCCTCTAAAATAGCCATACATTGACCAATCGAAACCAAATTTTGGGGTGAAGTGGAAACAGGTAAGGGGGTACACAGTACAATTGATGAGTAATCCTGAGCTACAATTGGCGAGTAATCCTGAGCTAAAATTGATGAGTAATCCTGAGCTACAATTGGTGAGTAATTTTGAGCTACAATTGAGTAATCCAGAGTTACAATTGATGAGTAATCCTAAACTACACACACAAATAAACTAGGTACGTAGCTTAGTACAATAATTTTTCATTAATTCTTTTAGAAAAATTAAGTTTTATTATTTAACATACAAAATGCTCACATTATCTTAAAAGCAATGATTAAAATAACAAATGCTTATTTCATAAAAATGCAATATTGTTTTTTGCAAATCTTTTCTTTAATTTTTTATATATATTTAATTTTTGTAAAATGTAATGCACATTAGTAGCATTGTAGTAAATATAAACCCAGTAGAGAGAGTTTAAAATGGGCAGAGGATTTCAAGAGTAGTAGTGATATAAATGAGACAATGCATGATTGACTGGAAGGAAATTCAATAAAGTTGAGGATAGCAAATAGCCTCACTAATGCAAATGATATCCTACATTTTAATGTTGAGTTATTGAATACATTAGTGCCAAATAGATTTCCAAGACACAACCTTTTGTTTAAACCAGGAATGCTATTGAGCAATATAAATCCTCAGGAAGGTTGATATAAAGGAACAAGTCTTGTGTTTGACAAACTTATTGACATCAGATTACTACAATGTACCGTGTTTGGAACATGATGAGTGGTATTAATCCCAAGAATAAAGTTTATTCATAAACCATCTGAATATCCTTTCAAATTGACAAGGATTTAGTATCCAGTCCATCCTGAATTTGCAAGAACTATAAACAAATCTCAAGGCTAAACACTAAAAAGTTTTAATATGGCTCCAGAAAGAAATATTTACACATGACCAGTTGTATGTTGCATGCTCAAAAGTAAGAAATCCTAAGAATTTATTCTTCTCTGTTAAAAAAGTAAAAAAAAGAAATTTTTAAAAAAAATATTGTTTACTATGAAGCCCTATAAAATTAAATTAAGAAATTCTAGTTTGCTAAATTTTTGATTTGCTAAACAAATTCAAAAGGCTTATAGAGTTATTAACATAAACAAATTTTATATAATTATCAATAATATGCTTACCTTATATAGTTTTTATTAGTGAAAACTGATTTTATATACCTATTAATTTTTAATATTTTGCAGGTTATTTAAAATAAGAAAATATTTTTAGATTAATTTTTTTTGAGATAATGATTTAGCGATACAAGTCTTACTAATTAACCCATAGCTTGAGAGAGAAGAGGTGGATTCATACCTTTCCCAAGAGTATTTGCATGTAAGTGAATATAATGAACAAAAATGGAATTGTTACTTGGCTCTCCAATTAACAATTCCAAGTCATTATCCATTATAACACTAGCACATCTAATGGTATTTCCAAGCGGTTACCCATCTACGTACTGATAAGGCTCAACGTTGCTTAACTTCAGTTATCATACAGTGGCCAATGTTTTAACATGATATGTCGGTAAGACATTTGTGTGTCTCTTTGCATGATAAAATCAGCGCCCTTATTTATTTTGGTACTACAGTCACCATTTTGTTTTTAGTAAAATTTGTGTAAGATTTTGTCTACATGCAATAGACTCACTTTTATTTGATAATTAATCTTGGTGCTATTTATTTTGTTACATAAAATATTTTCTTTGAATTTTGTCTCATACAGATGTGAAAGTTGGAAGCATCACTGATTAATTCGTTCCATATTTCTAAGGTGATTCAAGGGAGATAACTTATATTTTTTTAAAGGAAATTTTTGCCTAATCTGATTTGATTTTTTTATGAGAAACCAAAGTCAACACATCCAATTTATTAATCTAATTTAAAAATTTTGTTCTGTTCTAATTATCAAAAAACTATAGTTTCTTAATTGAACTGTGATTAAGTTTAAATACTGTTTTATTCTTGAATTTATTTATAATTGAAAAAAATTAATTTATTAATATAATTTAAAAAATAAATTTATATAATTTAAAACAAATATTATTAATATAATTTAAAACAAATATTAATTTAATATAATTTGAAACATTTATTAATATAACTCAAAAAATAAATTTATTAATATAATTTAAAATAAATATCAATTTATTAATATAATTTAAAAATAAATTTATTAGTATAATTTAAAAAAATAAATTTGTCAATATAATTCAAAAAAAAAATCTATTAATATAATTTAAAAC